CCCCGTTTCAGCTTCTGCAGCTTTCTCCTTCCCATTGAAGATGACACTTCGAGCTATATTTCGCTAGGACTTACTTTCATTGTTGAATTAATAAGCCTCCAGACCAGTGGCTGTACGGATATAGGATTTAATGAGAACCTGAGTTTGGTGGTGGTAGCCTGTAGAGTGTCATGGTCGGTTGGGCCACGATGACCCAACCGTTGGATTGTCTTGGTCGATGTGGTCCTGGCAGGATGCTTCTGCATCACTTGTGACAAAACACCTGGAGTGTTATTGCTGCAAAAATCTGAATGTAAGACTCAAGGTATAAGAGTCTACAGATCTTAAGTTGTGCTCTAGTGTTGGCATCTTGGTGGAAAAGCTCATTCTCAACCTACATGTTTTTTATAAAAGTTTCCATCTTCTACTTGTATCTGTGCTTTGGTGTCCAGTATAGTTGGTGAAAGGTAACTTTGGTTACATGTGGGCTCTGTTTCAGTCTTGGGAGCCTGCACACTTTGTCAGCTTCAGTGAGTTTTGTGTTTTCTTTTTTGGCCGTTGCAACAAGATGTGTATGTCCTCCTTCTAACTAGTGCAGGCTGAAATTAAGTCTTGATCTCCTCTTAAAAAGATGATACTGAGCTTCTTTAATAGTTAATGGGTTAAAGCTTGACTTTGGAAGTACTTTGATTGGTTCAAAGTTTTTCTAGAACATCATGAAGTGATTGAGAGTGAAATTCCCAACCTGTAGCAGGGGCTTCACCTGTAGTCTTTTTTTTGCTTCCAAAAGCTGTTACACTGATGTTCAGATGTGTATTAAAGAAAACATTTTGATAGCTTTAAATTACTTAGCTGACTACATGTTTCTCAAACTTTTTTCTCTTTCTTTTTCCTCCCTCCACTAATTGGTTGCTGGTAGTCTGACTGATTTTTTGTCTTTTTGCTATGTTTATTGTGTTCCAAGAAGTCTGTGTTTGGCTTTTTCAAAGGGTTTATTTGTTGTCTTTGCTATCAGCATTTTTTGGAAGAATGTGCAGCAACGGATAATTGAAAGCCATACATTTCCTTCTGAAGGAGACAATGTAATACTAAAAAATCTAGAAGGGAGAACGTTTTGTATTTTATTAATCACTGTGTTTCTGGGTGCTGCTTTGTTAACAGCCAGATCAGGCAAGAAAGGATAGATGGATTTTTTACAAAAGTTTACTTATCTCCCAGTATTTTCATGTAGGGTTTGTAACATGTTTTTACAGTCATCAGGATCAATTACTCCATCCATCAATTACTCTTCTCCACCAGCTCTTGAGGAACTTAAACTTTTGCTAAAAGGAACATGTTGACATGAATAAGGACTGGTTTCTTACTGTTGCTATTTACTTGCGATTTTAAGAGTCTAAGACAATAAGCATCTCTTATGCATGTGGTAGTGAGAAAAATTAAATTACTAATCTGTGTGACTATGTAGTAGGGGAATTCAGATAGGCAGTAAATTAAGAAATTAATCCCTCTTATCTGCAAAAATTAGATTTTTTTTTTTTTTTTGCCTTTATAGTGCAAGATGCATTGCTTGGAATAAGTATTTTATTGACTTCCACTTAGCTTTATGCTAATATTGGGGTTGTACAGGAAGAGTGACTGAGCTATAGCAGGTAGTTTAATGTATTATCTTTGAATTTTTTTTTGTGCTCAGTTATGTCAAGTGATGTTCAATACTGGAAATTTAAGTGGTGCATAAAATGGAAATATGCTGATAATGCATAGACATGATCCTAATTTGGCTGTATTTATCTAGGTATGTGACTATTGTGTATGTCTGACAGAGGGAGTTATGCTGGTGCTGGACTTCTACATGGGATAGCCAGTGGCAGAGACTGGACTAGGTGACCATGGAGGTGATTGCTGTAAGGCCAGATGCACCATTCAGCAGTGAAACAGTGGGAAGCCAAATGAACCCTTGTGGTTAGTGTTTGTTGTGAACTGCCAAAGCTACTGCTCTTCTGAGATTGTTCTTTTTTTTTATGATATTGTCCAGTGGCTTGTAGGTTCAGGAAAGTTGCTACTCTTCTGTATACGAATGTATACATTTAAGAAAAAGGTGTCTGATAACCCAAGGTATTTGAACAATGTATAAACTAGCCACACTTTTTACCTATAATGTAGAACTCTATTCTAACTCCTGTGTTTGTTTTACTCAGTGATACAGATTCAGATAGTTCATCAACTACATCCTCCTCTTCATGTTCTCCTTCAACAGTATCTGATGAAGACGATCATCCAAATGAGAAAGATAACAGATCTTACTGTGTTAAAACAAAAGATGAGTTGCCTATTGATGTAAGTACAATAAGTTATCTTTTAAACCATTTTCTAGTAACCCAACTTAAAATATTTTAACTTAATATGTTTTTAAGTCATTGCACTACCTAATGATTGAATGTATGTTTTTACTCTGGTTCAGATATAGCACAATTAATAACTTAGAATGTCTTATTTTTTTTGTATGTTAAGACCCCTCTGAAGTGAGGTTCCCAGCTTGTTTTAGGTTGATATTTGTATAAATCACAGTTGCAATGAATGAAAGCAAGTTTCTAAGTAAAGTTCTGGATATTTTAGTACATTTTCTATTGTTTGTATATTGCAGGCTTTCATCATCCTTTCTCTGTGTGAGAGACTTGAAGGTCTGACATGTCTTGCAGGCATGTTTCTAGTTGGAGGCCTGTAACTAGCGGTGTTCTCCAGGGGTCGGTACAGGGTCTGGTCTTGTTTAACATCTTCATCAACGACCTGGATGTAGGGGTAGCATCCACCCTCAGCAAGTTTGCAGATGGTATGAAGTTGGGAGGAGTGGCTGACACACCAGAAGGCTGTGCTGCCATTCAGTGAGACCTGGACACACTTGAGAGTCAGGCAGAAAGGAAGCTGATGAAGTTCAACAAGAGCAAGTGCAGAGTCCTTCACCTGGGGAGACATAACTGCATGCACCAGTACAGGTTAGGGGCTGGCCTGCTGGAAAGGAGCTGTGTAGAAAAGGACCTGGGTGTGCTGGTGGACAGCAGGCTGGCCATGAACCAGCAGTGTGCCCTTGTGGCCAGGAAGGCCAACAGTATCCTGGGGCGCATTAAAAAGCGCGGCCAGCAGGTCAAGGGAGGTTCTCCTCCCCCTCTACTCTGCCCTGATGAGGCCACATCTGGAGTACTGCGTCCGGTTCTGGGCTCCTCAGTTCAAGAGGGACAGGGATCTTCTGGAGAGTCCAGCCGAGGGCCACAAAGATGATGAGGGCCTGGAGCATCTGCCTTATGAGGAGAGGCTGAGAGAGCTCAGACTCTTCAGAATGGAGAAGACTGAGAGGGGATCTTATCAATGTCTATAAATACCTGAAGTGTGGGGGCCAAATGGATGGGGCTGGGCTCTTTTTGGTGCTGCCCAGTGACAGGACAAGGGGCAATGGGCAAAAAGTGGAACACTGGAAGTTCCAGACAAACTTAAGGAAAAACTTCTTTCCGGTGAGGGTGACAGAGCACTGGGACAGGCTGCCCAGAGAGGTTGTGGAGTCTCCATCTCTGGGGATGTTCAAAACCTGCCTGGACACTTTCCTGTGCAAAACCTAAGGAAAAACTTCTTTACGGTGAGGGTGACAGAGCACTGGAACAGGCTGCCCAGAGAGGTTGTGGAGTCTCCATCTCTGGGGATGTTCAAAACCTGCCTGGACACTTTCCTGTGCAACCTGTTGTAGGGAACCTGCTTTTGCAGGGGGGTTGGACTGGATGATCTCCCGAGATCCCTTCCAACCCCTGCGATTCTGTGATTCTGTGAATCAAATATGTTTAGCCTTGAGGTCAACGTTTTGAATGTTGTGTTAGGCTTCCTAGAGGTTCAGATGGCATTGCCTCTACTTATATTACCTTATATTAGAGTGGTCATAGAAGTGGGTTGTATTTGTTTTATTCTGCAGTTTTTTGTTATAGGGATGTTTTATGTATTGCAGATCAGAACCTTAATTTGCATCAAGATCCTGTTTTTTGTTTTGGTTCTCATAAATAACATACTCATTAAGTATTGCTGCCGGTATTCCTCATTGTCTGAAGAGGTTTAGAGGAATGAGTTTTAGTAATAATCTGCTAACGGATGGTAAGTTATGCATCATTTGTAATGGATTACAAATTAAAGGATAATACAACACTGTAATGTCAATTTGCATTAACAGTGTATATTTATCTGCTATTCTGTAGATCTCTCCCCTTCATTAAAGAATGCTTTCTGGAATGAGAAACAAGTGCAGTGGAGGGAACAAGAAATTATGAGAAAGGTAGAGGAAAAAAAACTGGAGAGCAAATATATATGGGTACATTTACCTTTGCTTCAGTGCTCTGTAAGAGGTTGTAATGAAGTGCTAGATGACTGCGTGGAAAGGCTGAGACATTGAAACACATTAGTAGTATCAATGACAGGAGATGAGAGAATGTTCTTAATTCTTAAACTGTTCCTCTGGAGACACTTGGAGTAAAGAAAAGCTCTTGGGATATTTTATCCCTGAAATTAATCAAAGATTGAGAAACATACATAATGTTCTGTTCTGAAGGAGTAAAACATCAGAGCAGTTGCTGCTTACAAGTACTTTGTTTTGAAATATGATTAATAGTAGAATCATTAATGCTTCTGAGACATTTCTTTTTTTGCAGCACTGGACTTTTGAACAAAAATCCTTGCTCAAATAGATGTACTTACATATTTTATTTGCCTTTTATCTTAATTATTTATTAAAATGAAATTCATGTTCGTCTGAAAATACTTTGCTCTGATTTTTTGTCACGTTAGCTTACTAGCTTCAAGTCCAAGTGTTTACAAAATATTGTCTTCCTTTTAAGTACTGACCTGACTAATTTAATTGGTTCAGCTTTTTACTAGAGATAGTTAATAAGAACTGTAGTTCTAGCAACTACATTATTTACTGTATTTTTTTACTAAGCCATTCTACAATACTAGAATCAGTCTGTGTAAAAACTATGTAGACTGCTTTCCATAAATTTGAGGGAATACAATCTGAAAATTAAAATGTATCTGTTAAAAATGAAACGTGATGATTAATGTTTTACCCAAAAGTCCCCAATAACAGCTAACTTGCTAAGGCATGGGTCAAAGATAAAAGGAGAGATTAAAGAAAGTATTTAACTGGAATGTCTGCTTAGGGGAAAAAAAACCTGATGTATTAGAGAGTGTTAGTGGAAATATTTTAGAAATCTCCTGCTTAGGGTTGACAGATACTGGATAAGGTATGACAGATGGTACAGTTTACCAATTTGAGATTTATGATCAGAATCTTAGCTTTCTTCCTTCTCGTCTTTGGCCTTTGATTTGCACTGGCATCCATGACTCAGTTTAAGTTTTAGTAGTGAAGTTCATTTAATGCTGGAAAACTTTTTATCCTGTAGAAGGGTGTGGTGTTTCTATCTGAATTCATGTCTTGGCTTTAATGCTATACTGTGTGATCTGGGAAGGTCTTGGCCTCTGGTCTTTGAGTTGCTCTGGAAGCCTTTGCCAAGAACTTTTGTTAAGAGTGAAGATTATCAGGTGAAGTTTTGATAAGACAGGGTGAGATTCTTCTGTTGGAGAGGGATTTTTTTTTTCTGGTGCTGACCTTTAAAAGTGCAGTTCAGTGCTAAGATTTGGACTCTACCTCCAAATTCAGAAGATGTTGAATTTGAAGATAATTCTTACTCTAGTTGCCCTTGCCTTGTATTCCATATAGTCTGTATTGAATTCAGAGCAGTATAGTACATACATAGAAATCTAGTTTATAAGTGAATTGGAGGTAGATGGTGAGTTCAGTGTTAATTACTTTTTGACAGCAGATTTTGATGCTTACATTGGAGGAAAAAGTTTCAGTGTGAGTATTGTTTGTGCAGTACTCATTCGTATATCTGACGTTTGGTGCTTTATTCAGAAGTGTCTCTCTGATTATCCTTTTGTACTAAATACAACCTTTTGCTAAAAATTATTTTCTTTGTATAGGTTGTTGTAATCTTTACATCTTCTGTAATGGTCTGAGTCGTGGCGTAAATGGACAGGCACCATTGTGTCAAATTGGATTATACATATGTGATGTATTTCATACTGTTTTATCTCTTGCTATGTATATTTTTCTGTTATACATTGAATGTGGTTACAAGTTGTCTGATTTTTTGATTACTGATTATCTAATTATTGTGTTGTACATTGAATTTAAATTTATCTAACTTGAAAGTTCAACAAAATTAACAAAATGTCTATCAGTTTTTGGTTTTCTCCAGTTGAATAAAATTTGTTTCTACTTTAGTTGCAATGGAAATATGGAGATTAGCATCTCAATAGAAAAGGTGTCTTGAAAAGTGACGTTCCCACACGATGAGTTCATTTAGGATTATTCTGAAAGATTCAAATCAAACTAGACTTTTTAATTAAATCTTCAAAATGCTAGAAGGTTTTTCTAATTGTCAAATTTGTGCAGCAACAGAGCGATGAATGTCTTAGTGTAATGAGATTATATTCTGAACAGTGACTTGATATTTTCAGGAACTGCCTCCTGTTGAAGATTTATCAATAATTCTGCCTGATGATGTTGAACTGAAGCTCTTTGGGACAGTTTCCAGCATCATTGAGCAGCTAGGTAGGAAAGATACGGTTGCTTTGTTTTTAAAATAATAATTGCATTAATTGTGTACTTGACTGTTACCTCAAAGTAATAGTACTGCAGCATGCTATTTCAGGGGGTAGTGGGTTGCTGAATGAGAACTCAGACTAACAAATGACATTTGTGTTGAATTCCCTCTTAGTTGGCTTACATCTTCTAAAGATTAAGATACTATGACTATTACACATGTGTTTTGGTGTGACTTTCATGTTGATTTTTTCATTAAAAAGCCTTTTTTCACCATGTATTAGGATCTTTATATAAATTCTGGCAACAATAAGATTGAACATTTGCAGTATTTTACGAAGTCTTCCAGATGTACATGCTATATTTGAATTATCTCTGAAGATACAGGAGGTATATAACTGCAAATGCAGATATAGTACAGTGCATTCCCAAGTGCTTGCTTGTTAATGTATGTGGACAGGAAAATGACTTGTTTCTTTAGCCTCTGTAGCAGTGCTTGTTGGGTAATTATTATATTAGGTATGGGTTTTTTTTTTCTTTTAATTCATCCCACTTTTGGACACCTTGACCAAATAGGAGCTGCCAGTGTCAGCAGTCACAGGACAGCATGACTAGCATGATTTATAGGTGCTGGAGGGTAAGCTTAATGGGATTGAGGCATACTATGGATGTAAGCTTAACTGCAAGCAGTATGCATTTAGGGATCTTTTCAGATCTGTCTGGGACCTCAGTTTTTGATATATGAAATAAAAATTTTGCTGAAGCTGATATTAATAAAACATCCATAAGATGTTTGGATTTAAGCTTATTTCAGGTATTCCATTCTGCTTGAACTGCTTTCAAAGTAATTTGTGTATGCAAATAAGAAATTAAGTTCAATTTTGAAGTTATTTATGTTGAATAGGGTAGAAAAGAACTAAAGCGAATAACCCTTGCTATTAAATTTTCTTTTATTGTAAAGACTACAGGTAATACAGGCAATTCTTTTACAGTATTTTTGTTGGTGGTGTTGTTTTTGAGTTAGATTTAATTTCATTCATGTGCAGGAAGCTGACTTCAGAGTGTGGAAGGTACTAATCTGGTCATCGTCCTTTTGTTCTATTTTGCCCTTATTGATAATAATGGGGACTTCAAGAAGACTATTTTCAGCTAAAATGATAGCTTGAAAATAAGTTAAAAGAAACAGTTGAATCATAGTTTGCAATTATTTTTTTATCTAGTATGTGAATGTTTAAACAAAGCTGGTTTTAAAGAATTCAGTTTTTAAAACTGTCCTTAGTTTCTAATCCTCTTTGGTGCCTGTAACCTTTTCAAATCCTGTCAGTTTACTGACAGGTGAATTCTTGAGTCTGTACTCTGCTTTATGTAACTGAAATATACGAAGTGTTGAATTTAGATTTGGTTGGTGAAAGTTAGAAAGCAGACTGATAATCATACAGGAAATAAATGTAAGAATAGAATAAAACCCCAAGATACCTGTGTTGGTTTTTTTGCTTTTACTAGCTTGCTTTGTGACTTCCTCTTCCTATGTGTTTGCCTCTCTTTTCAGTTATTCTGGAAACAAGTGTCAGAGTGGCCTCAATTTCAATTGTTTTATGGCCAGAATAGGGATGCAGCCAGCTAATTGTGGGTTAGCGTTTGATTTTTGAGCTAAATTGATACCTGTGTATACCAGGTTTATATCTAGTATGAGGGAAGTTAAGGTCTCATTTGGAAATCACAAATATTATTTTGACACAACACTCAGTATCCTGAACACTTTCTATCCCTTTAATGTATCAGAAGCCTCTGCTGTTCTCTGTGGCAAGTTTCCAAGTTAATCAGTCTGCAGTGTGTTATACCTGTAAGTTAGCTCTTTGATACTATGAGGTGAATTTGAGGCTAGAACAGTATAGGTTCATGCTTGCTTCACACTAGCTAAAAGCAGAATGACAGAACTTCCTGTGAACTTTAACTTCTGCTTAGCATATTAGAATTTAATACAACTGTTGTGTTTTGCTTCAGGGTACTTAGAGGAGGGAACAATTCACTGTGTGGGTTGTAGCCTAGAAAGTAAACAGCTCTGGTATGTATGAGAAACCTACCTTGGAACTGCACTTTGGGCCCTGGAAGAATAGAAGTTGAGAATTTTGGGTGGATTTGGGGTATGGGGAGCTATAAGTCAAATAGGCTCTATGTGATAATGTTTTTCCTGGGTTTCATGTGACTGGCATGACTTATGCTTTCAGAATACTTTCCTTAGCCTACTGTAAGACTTGGGACTATATGTGATCAAGGAAGTTGAGAGCATTCTTTGAGAGTTTTTGGTGTGTGGATTTTTGTTGTGTTTTGTTTTGGGTTTTTTGTTGGGGTAGGGTTTTTTGTTGTTTTTTTTTTTTCCCTGAATTATGTTTCTGATGAGATTTAAGCAACACATTGAGTTCTTTCACTGTATGTTTTAAGTTTATCTTGTGCCTACCTTTAAGATTTCCCTACTTCTCTTGAAATTCAGTGATCTATTAAGCCTGTAGCATTGTCACCGGCTTGCTTGGCATGCCATAAGGTGTTTGCAGATTGAAATAGTAGCAAAGCTGGAGTTTCAGCTTGATGAGATGTTTATTACTTTAAGTCCTGTTAGGTAAGTTTATCAGTGATAATCTTGTTAGTTTTTGTTAGAGTCTGAGTGATACTAAGTGCTTGAGTGACTTTATTTGAGGATGGAGAGGCACTGGGAATGCTTAATTGAGCGTTGTTTTCGAGGTAGAAAAGATTACCTACAGAATCAGAATTTTTTAGTGTAATGTTGCTAGGCCTCTGTGTTGACAGATTTAAGCATAATTTTTTTAAAGGAAGACCTGATATTCCTGTAGACTGAAGCGACAAATGTGAACTACTACCAAAGAAGAGTGAACAACTCTAAAGATTTCATTAAAGAATAAGCTCTTTATGGCTCTGAATCCAGAAAACCTAAAAGCCTGTATATCAATTTATATATTTAATGGATGAAGAACATGCTTCTGTGTCCATTTGTAAGTGTTTAAGTCTATTAAGTGTTAAGCTTTCATATTTTGAGCTTCTAGAATGACTTGCTTTATGTGACCATTCATACCATCGTTAATCATGGATTAGACTCAAATGTAGTATGAGAATGTTATATGACATTAAATTGCGTAAATGTATTTAAAATTGTGTATCTGCATGCATAAATGCCACCACCCGTTGCTACTGTGACTCGACTGACAGACATCTTTTGTGTTCTGATCCGATTCTTATGACTTATTAGGAGAAGCTTATTCCATTTAATTTGGAATGCTAAAAGGCACAGTATGCACGTGCATCTGTACTCAAAAAAACAGATATTGCTGCTATGGACTTCATTAAGAAACTTCCTGGGTAAATACAACAGATATCTCACACATACGTATCTGAGACGTCTCTTACGTACCTGTCATCTGGTCTCCTTTGTTTCTTCACTCCAGAAAACAACAATTCTGGACACAAATGTAAATCTTACTACTCACATATCAGAGAAGGGGTGTACAATTGTAAGTAGTTTTGTGTATGTACAGTAATTATCCGGTGGAGCTCTATGAACTTTAGCAGACAAATGATGGTGTGGTTTAAGTTACTCTGTAATTAACTACATACTGCTGTTGAAACTTGAAAGTTCTAATTGTTTTTTGTGGTTTTTTTTTTCCATTTTAGTAATAATTGAATCACTGAGAGGCCTACCTCCAGTAAATGAGGAAAGCATAATTTTTAAAGAAGATAGGCAAGCAGCAGGAAAGGTATGTGTAAAGCATAAAAACCTGTTATTCTTATGTAAAATTCAAATAATTATTTTATGTTCCAACAAGTAGTGTTGAAGTCGACTAAACGAAATATGATGTTTCTGTAATATGTAGTTTTGCTTTGTGCTTTTGACTCTTGCTCATCTGTTGTTTTAATCTCAAGATTTCCTAGCCTGAAATTCATTGCATCCTTAAAGAATTACAGTGTGTGATGAGTTTCTGCTATTTTATGAGAGTGCTTGTGGAGAAGAAGTTGCTTTCAGATGCATGATGTCTTCAATAACAGGCTGTGCTCTTTTATTGCCAGGAGTTGGCAGCAAAGTTTGGAGATATTAGTCAAGTTTCAAGAAAAATGGGGAAAGTTTACATATCTATGCTCTGCTGTTGCAATTTAAATCCAGTGTGTGCTTTATGCAAATATAATGAAGAATGTCTGCTGAGAGGGATATTAAATTGAATTTTGTATGTTTTCTGGGGATAGAAAGCCACCATCTAGAACAGTTACTACTGTGATATCTTTGAATGCTAGGTGTGAGTGAAACAAAAAACTCAGCCTGCAATTGCAGATGTTATGTACGACATTCTCCGCTCTCCACAGAGTTGGTGGACAGGGGAACTGACATAAACGTATATTGTAAAGATGAACTTTGAGGAATAAATGATCAGGAGATTGTTCCAGGTGCAAGAGATTTGAAAGCATAATGGAGAGAGAAGAACAGAGATTTGACAAAAGGAAGGATTACTAAAGTGGAGGAAGTAGACAGTGAAAGCAGCGCAGTTGTATGGGCAAAGGCAACATTAGCGTGTGAGAGAACTTTTCCACATCGAGACTTAAACAGTAGCTGGGGAAACACACTGTGAAACAAAATATGGTAATAAAAGTAAAACATAAGAGTAGCTTTATGTGATACTGCATTTTGAAAATATATCAAACTTCTTAACTGCGAAGCTTTAAGATGCTTTGTATTTGTCTACAATGACATTATCTGTCTATTCTTGGTGGTTTATTTAAACATTTAATTTTTTTTTTTTTGTATTTCAGGTATTTGAGATATTTGGTCCTGTTCTACATCCTTTTTATGTGTTAAGATTTAACAGCTCTGAGCATATCAAAGCAAAAGGTATTAATGTGCAGGATAGCATGTATTTTGCTCCATCAGTGGAAGACTTCACCCAGTATATATTTGCAGAGAAACTAAAACAGTGAGTCTGATTTCTTTTCTAATCTGTTTATAATATAGCCAGAATTACTGGATTAAAGTTGAGCCTTGAGTGAGAAACTGTAGGACTAATCTTGACACTAAAACTTTTATTTATTTTTTTTTTTAGATATTCTCAACTGTGGAATAACTGTTTTGCCTTTCAGAACAGTACAAAGTAGCTGTAAACTACAGGCTTCTAAAGTGTTATAATTAACTAAAGTTTAGTAGCTTCTTACACAATTTAATATATTAAGCTTGCTTTCTTTCCATGTTGCTGTGTAACCTAAAATATCATAACCAGAAAAACATTGCTTGATACTTCCCTCCCCAACACCCTTTCACACACATACGAATGCATGGATTTTGCAAGCTGAATTTTCCAGATTTTGTAGTTCTTCAGATTCTTGTTTAGTTTCATAACTTATAATAAACTTGTTTGAATTCTGAACAAGTTTGTATTTATTTGCTATTTGTATTTCATGTTATAAGGCCAAAACTGAAATTTAATAACCAATAAATCTATTGTGCAGTTGGAGAATAACCATTTTATATGAAAATCAGCTGCTGTAAATTTGTGAGAGGGGAGGGATTTGAGTTGCAGTGTAGTGTGATGTTCAGAAACTTCTCAATCGTGTATGTGTATCCAAGTCTGACTGAGGAAAGTAGCCTGTATGAACAGGACTCGTTGCCATTTAAAAGGAAGTGTACTCAAAGATACAGAATAATAAATAAATCATAATAAATGACTGCTAGACATTAGTATTCTAATTATTGATGAATAATTGTCTAAAATAGCTATAGGTTAAAAAAGTCTTTTGTCTTACAAGTGACTTCATCTCTGTTTATTAGGATTATTTCTCATCTGACGTGCACGTTTTTTCTGACTAGAGCCGATAATATTGGTGTCTGCATTAATTGCAATTCTACCAGTATTCATACTGAATAATTTTTTTTTAGTCATGCATGTGTAGCTAAGCTTGCAGGAGTCTTTTTTTTTTTTTTTTTTCTTTCCAGCCTTTCAGCTAAGACCAAAATAGATCACTTTCTTGCTCTTTTGCTTGTTTGTTTTTCTGCAGCATTTTGATGCCAACTGGTCTTTGATTTGTGCTGTTAAACTTTGTGGCTTAGCACAGTAACTGCACAGACTTTAATAATTTACTTACTATATCAACAACTGTGTGCTGTACTCAGCATCTGAGATGTGAGGCTCATGTTTTAGTTTGTTACATGCTTTGCAAATAGTTTTAGGAACTGTTTGTCTTCTGGTAGTATTGTGCTGTCATACATGGTACAAAATTGAACATTAGGTAAGGTGTTTCACACTTTCATGACTTTAACAGCACAGCCGAACAGTGCATCAGGTATTGTTTCTTGCTCTGCATTAACCTGAGCAGTGTGAATACCTGTGTAATCTGATGTAAAACATAATTTCTGAATAATGTGACCTTAAGTTACATTTCACTGAAACAGTATTTTATTTGAGTATTGTCAGTAAAGGCTCAAACTTCTGTGAGGCAATTGGTACTATTTGTTGAAGCTACCTTTTCAGAAAGCAGGTGTCGTTGAAAAAGTATAAAGAATTTTGATTTCTGATCTATGCTGTAATATCTGTAGAAAGAAACTCAGATGGCATGGATAATAGAAAAGTTGAGCTTTGGTCAGTGCTTCACAAGAAGGCTGTTGGGCCTTAGCAGATTGCAAATTTGATAACGAATGATTTTTGTTTTCTGCTTTTGGTTAGTTTTACTGTGTGCAGACCAGCTTGTGTAGTATTACAGGCTTAAAGTTTTGGAACTGCTGTGCCAAACTGTGATGGTACTTTGAAAAGGAGAGGAATCAGTATTAAGATCTGAAAGAAACCTTAAGTTTGAAGGTTTTTCTGAAATCTGGCATACAATCTGCTTGTATTGTACAAAGTTGCAGTGCTATGAATAAACCTGACTCTTCAGAGCAAAATAAATGAAAGTGTAGGCTAAAACTTATTGAATGCAAAATAATTTATTGCTAAATATAGATGTGTTGTATTGCCTGAAACACAAAATAATTCTAAAGAAGCCTCATGTATTTTCATGATTCCTCTGAGTCACTTTTTGTTCGACTTCCAGATCTTACAGTATCTGAGTTCAGAAATCAAAGAATTACTATCCTCTTCTTTGTAGAAGATTATTGAATATCTTGGAGCACAAAAAGTGTTTTGTATTTTGCTGAAATGGGGAAGGCTCCCTTGGGAGAGTGATAAGCTGCCTGAAGAACTTTTAAATTTTGCAGTCAGTAGTACTACATGCTGCCTAATGACCACAGGTCTTGCAGTTTCTTGCATGGTCTGGTATTTCTGGCAGGCATGTAATGTCCAAAAATAACAAGATGAGAGGGAGAAACAAAGAAGTTGATTCATAATAAAAAAAACCAAACAAACAAACCAAACCAAACAAAAAAAAAAACCCCAAAACTGCTACCTTTTCATTGTTGCATAAGTAGAGAGTTTTTTGCAGCTGATAAATTACTTACATAGAACCCTTATCTTCCTTTCCTCCCTGTAGCATTTTCTTCTAATTGAACTTCAAAATGACTTGCATGCTAATACGATTTGCTCATAATCACAAAGGTGATGTGTCTTTATAGTTTTCTAGTGATACTTAGAGATCGAGCTTCAGTTTTACGGTTAGGGGTTGAGGCACGAAGTCCCTCCAGAGGACTTGTCAGCATTCTCAGGGGCAGCCTTTGACTGAGGGTCTCTGAAGTCCAGGCTTCCTAGAGCCGATGGTTATGTACTTTGATGTAGTTACTGCTGTTTGATTGCTACTTGATGAATACATCAAAAAACCCCTTGGTTATTAGAGCACTGATTGAAGACTTTTCACACTGAACATCTTGGTGTTTTTAACTGTATAGTTCTGTTTTGCCAGTAACAGTTTTCAGTATTGCATTATTTTTTATAGTTTGTCTGCATAGATAAGGATTGTGTCTTGACATTTCAGACCAGAATATATTAAAGTTGTGAGCAATGTGGAAGAACCTTCCATAGACTTTAACAGTATAATTTAAATTAGTTCTGCAAATTTTCTTGCAAATCAAATAAATGATTTTTAGTGAAGTTCTTAAAGTCATGGGTAAAATAAATGGTACCACTTCAAATTAATTTTGGTGCTTATTGGGCAAGTCGATTGAGTTTTTGCTTCCTTAAATGTCTTTTAATAGCTTTTTAATTTTGTGTTTACAACAAAATAGATGATGAAACCTAATTATCTAGCTAATGCTGCATTAATAGAATTGTAAGCCAAGCTTAAAGGTTTTTTTGGTTCCAGATTCACTCCACTGTAGGTGTATTTAAAGCCTCTGTCCTACTAGACTACTTAATTGTCCTTTTAAACTGGAGATATATATTCTGAAACCAGGAGAGTAAGAAAGCTTGTGACTGTAGTCAGCATAAGAAAGTTTCAGTGAACTACCTCAGTTCAGGTTCAAAGCAATTTAGGTTCAAATTAATATGTTGAGAGAATATTGATCAAAGCCTAGTATTATCTGTGTGAAATGTTCAGTCTTCACTCAAAATAGGAAGATTTTTCAAGTGACATATGTAGTGAGGTCCTAAGTTGACACGTATATTACTATGTACTTGGAAACAACACTAAAAAAAAAAGCCTCTTTTAAAACAGGCATCTCCTGGTGTAGGATATCTGATACCTTGAAGGAAGTGTTACTGTATTTCCTGCAGTACAGTTCTTGCAAATTTTTTTGGTCCTGGAATATGTTGCTACTACATGACTCAAGAGATGTCTCATAGCTTCCTTACCCCATCTTCCTTCATCTTAATTGTCTAACTTGTCATTGTCATTTTTCTAAAAAAATTTTTTTTTTCTTTTAGGGAAAAAGGTTCAGATGCATCCTGGAAGAATGACCAAGAACCACCACCTGAAGTAACTATAGGGTTTTTTTTTTCATTTGTGTTTTTTGATAATACAAGATATATGTAGAAAAAAATTTGTGCAGAGTAACTTATAAACAAGTTTATTTTTTTATGCAGACAAGAGTCTATCCTTCATTGAAAAGAAGGTCATGTTTTGCTTGAAAAGGCTTCAGTATGAGCTGTCTTTTTCTACTTGCTTTTGCAGTTGGGAAAATGTGTATTTTTATCTTTGGTTCCTCTGGTCTTTCAAAAACATGTTTGGCAACTTGAACTTCAGCTTTGAGTAGCAGTGCTTTTACCTTGCCTAATATTCTGCTAGGGGATTTTTGTTCTTGCTGTTCTTTCACTGCAGTTTTGTCTTTGTCACAAACAGTTGTTTGTCTTTAAACACCTGCAGATACGCTCTGCAAGGCATCTTGTCACTCAGGAGAGTCAACCAGTTTGGTATCATCAGCAAACTTGCCAATGGTGTGTTCAACTCCTGCATCTAGATCATTGGTGAATGTACTGACCAGAACTGGCCCTAGAATTGAACCCTGAGGAACACTGCTGGTAATCAGTCACCAGCCAACTGTAGCCTCATTCACTACAACCCTCTGAGCTCTGCCCTTCAGACAGTTCATCACCCAGCAAACCATGAACTCACCCATCATTGAACATTTTGTCTGAAATGATGCTTGAGGGACAGTATCAGTTTTTGCATTTTCGGTCCTTATCCCAGGCCAGTTGTTCTGGTGTGAAGGAGAGATGATGTCACATGGGTTCTTCTGTGCTTGAAGATAGGTCCTGTAATAACATATAGTCTGAGCGGCGTTAACTTCTCTCAAAGAATACTTGTCTGTAGGTTCTGACTGTAAATTGCCTTCCTTTCTTGGGGAGACATAATCTCACAGAGAATAATAATTTGAGAATTAGAAGTGTTGCATGGAATTGGACTGTAGGTATGTGATCAATAGAGATGTGAAAGACTATGTACGCTTAGAAACTTTTGGCTAGTCCTAGCTTTGTTTTGTCCAACAATTTTCTAGTGATAATGATACAAAATGTGCTAATAGTGAACTCTTTTTTTTATTTTTAGTTGTATTTTTAAAGCTGTTCAGGAGGTAAGCTTGTAAATGTGTAATTTGAATTTATAGGAACCTAAGTAACTTTAAAGCTTGGCTAAATACATTCCAGCAGTGAAGTTGTCTGCAGATACAGATTTATTGCTTTTTCCAAAGTTGGTATTTATTTTTCAAGGTTTTTCTTAATTTTGATTGATACTGTTACCTTCAGGTTAGAATCTGGAAGTACAGGGGAAACTTTAGGTTCACTGTATTTCACTGTAGGAAGGAAGGAAGCTTGAATGAAATCAATGATGGCAAGGATGGGTAAACTTAATTGCTTTTTATGACACCTTTGTTTCCATGGCTGTTCTGACTTTGTGATGTGTCTGTGTGCTCTGTTTTGGAGAAAACACCAAATCTATCATCTTGTAATCCTTAATTAGAATAATCTTTGGATGGTTCTAGCAGTTACAGTTTACACTAAGATACCCAAACTGTGACAGCTGATGAAGCTGATAGAAAGTAGCTTTTGCTGTGAAGGTAATAGCTGTTGACAAGGGTGGAGATTAAATTTAGTGCTACTGATGCTTGAAATTGTCTTTTAAAGCCAGACTCGTTTAAAGCCCTCAGCTGGCAGCTGCTTCTATAACTTTTTCTGTCCAGTTCCCACAGTAAACTCCATGCAATTGCTGACATCAGTTCTTGCTGTGATACCGTGAAGCTCTATTTTTTGTATGAACATTAAATTAATCCATGTTAGGCCTTTTATGCTTGTTACTTTAAGGTGTATGATAAGTGTTCCTTTTCTGACAGGCTTGTAATTAGCCCACCTTAACTTTAGATTTAGCAATACAGTCTCCCTTGGCCTTGTCTTTAGGGTCATAGGATGACACTGTCATCTGTATACTGCAAAGATAGCAGGAGGAGATAAATATGATTTCTCTGTGAGGCAGCTTTTATGGAATGTCGCATGGAAATTAGCTAGCAATAGGAGATACCTGTTGTTTATTTCTGCTCTTCTGGAGGATGGTGTATTTAAGTCCTTAGAAAAAGCGGGAGTTAGTGAAAGATTTTACTTCAAGGTATATATAATCTTGTATTTCCATGTGGCTTTTTTTTTTTTTTAGTAAGAATATAATCCAGTTATGTAGAAGAAGAAATATTTATATTCAGAATTAACTTTATATGGCTTTTCTTTAGTGCAGTGTTTTTGAGATGCATGTTCTTCATATACTATAGTGATATATCAGTAAGTAGAAAAAAACATTCCTTTCAGAATTGGGAAGGGATGGAGGGGAACAAACCCTACTCCTTTAAGTCCTACGAGGATGCTGTTTTTCAGGGAACTAATGTTGCTGACAAATTTCTTTCCTGTCACTAATAACTTTTCCTCATTTTAAATGTAAGCTAGGATTCTAAAAGTAGTAAAACCTTGTGTAACAGGAAAAAATATCGCAGTAGCTTTGAGTATTATTAAATTACATCATTCTCCAAGGTTTGAAATTCCTTTGGAATAACACTGCTATTGCAAGTTTAACGGGAACAGTGTTATTAAGTGTAATCAGAAAGTTCCAATTTAGACTCGAGATATATTTTTAACATAATTTAACTGTGCTAAGTATTGGTTGCCAATTTTTTTTTTTTAAATGTGTATCTGAATTTACCTAGTCTACAGTTTGCCCATTGAAAGCTTTTTCTTGACAATGACTAGCCAGCTCCCTCAGGAATTCCCTCAACTACAGCTGTATTACTCTTCCTCTTAGTTTTGTTAAAAGCCAGGTAAATATCCTGTCTCTTAGGGCTGCTTCTTGGGAAGAGTAAAATAGAATCCTTGGTAGGCTTTCCATTGAATTACAATTACCTACATGTTCCTAAAATCTTTGCTGTTGCAGTAAGCTGTGCAAGCTACACATGAATTTCAGTTGTTTTGTATGTTGTGCAATAGTTGAATTTTTTTTTCTTACTAACATGTTGGCAATCAAAAATTTGTGTTCACTACTTGAATGTTGCTGGTTTTAGGAAAATTAGAAGGAATAACTGAGAATTATCTAATTGTCTTATGAGAAATCTGTGGAGTGTTAAGTTTTTGATTGGGTTGAGAAGCCAGCTGGACACGATGGTTCTTTGAATGCAGAATAGGAAAGTGCAGCTTTAATATTCTTCTAAGCTGACTGCAGGATGGTTTGTTTTTTAAATAATGATTTATTGCTAGAACTGAAGTTCTTTGTTCAGTCTTCATATGGCTTCATTCTCCTTTTTTTTTTTTTTTTTTTAACCAGGCTTTGGATTTCAGTGATGATGAAAAAGAGAGAGAGGCAAAACAGAAGAAAAAGAAGCCTCAAAATCAAGGAAGGAAGAAACTCAAATCAGAAACAAATGCATCAAGTGAGTGAATGCTATGGGAGAATGCTTTTATCTGCTAAACTGAGTTTGAAATACACCGTGATATCTGTCTAAATTCTCGAGCTTTCATGCAGTTTATCAGTATTTCTGTGCTTTTCAAAGTTGTATTTCTGACTTTGTGGCAACATTCCATATTTTTAAAAAAGTAAAACAAAGGGTTTTTCCATTAAACTCTGGAAGAAAAGTGGTATAGGAGCAGGACAGTTGTCAGAGGAGATTCAAAGGCTCTTACAACAGTGTCAGCTGATACAGTGAGATTACAGAACAGATGGCACCTTTTGGAGTTTAGAGCTCGCTTATTGCGGGAGTTACTGAGGCTCAAGTTCAGCTTCAGCCTTTGAGTGCCTGGAGAAGATAGAGGAGGGGATGGGCAATTTTTGACAACCCAAGTTTTTTGATGATCGGGGAGAAGACACAAGTCTTAGATGGGGAGTTTTTTCCTCTATCTGAAAAGGATACTCTTCCTCACCCATGACATGTAAATACTCTTCCTTTAAAATAACTTCTACTCGCGTAGCCTACTGAGAACCTCTCTGTTTACCCAACACAGTCATTATATAAACAAACCTGTAGAAGTTTAATAAACTGTGTATAGTTTTTCATAATATACTGAGCCATCTTCACCTTCCTTTCTCCTGCTGTTGATAGATCTATTCCAGGTGTGTATGCTTGCAGCTGTGCTCTGTTTGCCATAGCCAAATTTTTCTTTGTGTCTTCTCTCATGCTTCTCTATTGAAAAAACTTTTTGCTTTTTAGTTGCCATTTTGGTTGAATAACTTAAATCACATCCCCCTTTCTCTGTTCTCACTGGCCTGCCTCTGTTGTATGTTTTTTGTACCACTCCCTTTAAATACTACTGACTCATCCCTTTCCCGCTTCCTCCTCTTCTACTGCTTAAATATGAGGTTACTTCAACTGTCTGCATCACAGTGCTTCCTCCCATTGATTTTCTTGAACTGACTCCTTCCATGAGTTTGCTGCTTTTCCTCTGTAGAGCTGCTAGACATTGTGCCCCACTGAACCCCTTTTCTCTTGATCTAGCAAGTCAGTAACTGTCCTGTTAACTGTTTTACTCTGTGTACAGTACATCCCTCCCTTGTACCCTTTAAATAAAGCTGTGATCTTTTTTGAACTGGCTGTCATCCTATGGTTTTGTCAGTTCTCCCTTAAGGGAAGGATCTGAATTGTGCCGTACTTTCCCTTCATTGCTGATGGTTATTTTCTCTCCTGGTTTCTCCTTCCCTAGCATATGGCATGTTTTCCACCATATCCTTATTCTGCCAGCTTATTGCAGACCTGCCTTTGCTGAGGGCTTGTTGAGGCTGTTACTGAACTATGTTCCATAACTGAGAACACAACGGGAGAAACTGTCTTGATCTGTCAAGGGAGTACAGGTTATGATTTGCTGTGTTTTTCTGTAAATAACATGGTATAAGTTGAAATTGTGCGCAATTTAGTTTGGCTGTGGAATTCAGTAACAAGGATATCTGGCAAATTGAGGCGCAAACTCGGTCTCAGCGGGAGTTTTGCTTGGTTGCATCTTCGTAAAGCTCCGAGTATATTAAAATTGTTTCAGTGTTATAGTCTTTGATAGGAGAAGAAAGAACAAAAATAGTCACTCACGTACTTTCACTTCAGTGCTTCTGAGAGTACTGCATGCACCAGAGGAGTCTAAGTCCTAATCCCCCACGAAAATGAATAGGAATTTTGGTATCCAACTACCTTTCCAGGCTTAGCTTTTCAAAGGTAAAATGTTTCTTTGTAGTCTAGTGCCAAGGATTAGGTCACATAAAATTTTTTTAATTTTTTTTTTTAAATTCAGCGATTTTGTGCGGTGTTACGTCCTCAAATATCCTTTTTCTTGCAGCCCTAAAATCCTGTAGAGATCATGTTTTGGTTTAAATTCTACAGCCTTAGCATCTCTTTGGAACATTTTAAATATTTTGGTGCTCTTAAGTTTGAGGCACTTATTCCACATACAGGGAAAAATTTATCTTTAAAAGATGAATGCTGAAAGCTAGCTGCTGAAAGGTACAAGTTGCCTTTTTTCTGATAGAGTAAGTTAATTTTATTATTTTGAGTTTGAGTAATTTCTTGTGTCCTGTGTCTGTGCCGCAATATAAAATCAGATCTGAAAGCTGTATACCACTTCAGTGTAATGTGGTGTTGATTTCTCTTCAGTTTTTAAATGTGTTGCTTTTAAATCTTGTTTTAAACCAAAGCTTCCAGAATACTCACAGTTTGAGTGTTCCTGTGATTCATTAATAGAAATGAAAAAGCCTGGAGGGGAAGAAAGTGAAAGATCTTTTTTAATGACTGAACTTGCAACCTTCAGAATAATTCTTTCTATACTACTCTAGTAAATGAAGATGAGTTACTAAACAGTAGACTTACCAGTATTATTTTGTCATTTATATATTTTTTGCCAGTAATATTTGTTGATAAACTTACTCTTCAAATTTTCTTCACTTTGCCTTGAAAGGCTTCTGAGGCCTAAACTTAATCTTTCCAAAATAATATTAAAACTGTGTGGGGTTTTTTGTTTTGTTTTTCTTTTAAGGTGAGAATAAAGGATTTCATCAGCCAATGCAACAGCCTGCTTCGGGTTACTCAAGGGGATACCGTGGCAGAGGGTTCTCCAGGGATCCATTTCTTCCTCCATCAGGCCCTCCAGGTTTTTTGAGACCACAAGTAAAAGCACCACAGCTATACTCTTCAGACAACAGAATACATCAGGAATCTCCGGTGTTTCCACAACCTCATAGAAAAGAAAATCCAATGATGCAGCAGTATCCCTTTCCTCCTTCAGTTTTTGGTTCTGTTAATGATGTGCGTCAATTCCACCTTCCACCTTCAAATCTGAATATGATTTGGACAGACCCGAACATGTACAACTCGTCTTACCCGTTTTTACCACCTCCACCACCACCCCCTCCACCTCCTCCAGATAACCATCCTCCTCAGTTCAGGCCTTACTAAATTTCCATGAATGTGCATAGAGAACATTGCAATTTAAAGGGAGGAAGAACAGGCTGCCAAGATTTTATTCCTGTATTTTGGAGATGCTTGATTTTTCTGCAACAATAGAACAAGTGCAGAAATTGATGCTTTGTGGGACATCCATAGAAAACTTTCTATTATATGTTTTCTGTAAGAAAACTATATGATAAAAATAACTAAATATTAAATATAATTAAATGGATTATTTTTGTAATATCTACTAGTTTTGGATGATAAATAAAAACTTATTGGAGACTGTTATGTAGTGGTGGAAATCTATCTTGTAATAAATTTAAGAGTTTAACTACTAATAGTGATGAGCATTAGTCACAAAGAAGGTATTTTAACATTTTTAGAGTGATTGTATATTGCTATGCTTAAAGCATTTTTCTCAGTTTCTGCAAATTTTGAAATCTGTATGCATAGAAACTAAAAAAGTCTGATACCTAATTTTTAAGCTAGATTTGTCACTATTTATATAGAATATAAACTCCTGTTATCCACCTTCTAGTATTTCATTATTTTTGTATTAACTAAAAGACGAGCCAGGTGGTCTTTTAAATAGATGGAGTAGCTAGGTCAGAACTTGGAGCAGCAACTGAGTTACTCTGTCAGTGTCCTATGATAGCTATAGAAGATCAACTTATTGATTAGATATTTTGAAATTAATTTTAGGATGCAAAACCACATGATATGGGGAAATTAAAAACCAGCAGAACTTCTCTAGCTTGTTCTTGCTCCCAGTGCAGAAGTACCCATGGGTACATACAGTATGTAGTCAGCCTTTCTAGGAAGAATTCAGGGAGAGAAAGTATGCCATTTCAGAACCCCCTTGTTTAAATTTGTATCCAAATTGCAGGTAGTACTAGATTGCTCCTTGATTGTCTTTACAGTCAAAACTGTCTCTTTTGAAATTAAGAGGTTCATTAACTTTCCCAGCTTGTTTCTAGGAGGGAGATGGAACTGTAAACTAAAGATAGCCTGGAACAACCTCCATCTGTCCAAAGATTTGCTACAATTGCGCTTCCTTAGTCTCCATGGAAGTGTCTCTAACTGGAATGGGAAACCCTTAGACTGCATAAAGATTTTAAAAAGAGAAAAAAATGTGGGACATTTTCCCACTGAAAAATCATTACTAGTTGTAATGATTTTTGAATCATTAATTAACAATATAATTACTGAACCATTGAGCAGAACTGATAGACGTGTGCAGTATGTATTCTCAGACTCATATAGGCATTATTTGGTTATGTATTTAAAGACTAATTAAGCTCTGCAGGTGTTGCTTAGACTTTAATTCCAGATAACTAACGGAACAGAAATTTATTGCACAGAGGGAGGGACCATCTTGTCAAGATGCTGCTACTGTGCGTTAGAATTTAATTTCAGACTTACAGTTTTGGGTAATATACTTAATTATTCTCTAATATATCTAGACCTACTATTTCATAGGTGTGCAACTGATAAGGTTGTACAAGTGTCCAATTCTAGTCTGTTGCAAATGCTTATGAATTTCTGGCTATCTAAGCTGTATCCCAGCTATTGCCATTGCTAGTGATAGGTCACAAGTGTGAGTAAACTCACTACAGCCTCCTGATTTCCCTTGACTCACCTGGAGCTTTCCTTATGTTTAACTATAACAGCAATTTGTTAGTGACTGGGTGGTTATGATTAATTTGTTTTACCTGTGCTTTTTTTTTCCTATGGTATACACATAGGGTTTTACATAGATGGCAAAGGTAAGTAGTTTTGGTGTGTAGAATGAGGTTTTAAACATCTTTTCCAACAAAAATTATTCTGTGATTCTCTAAAAATGATCCCAAGTTGATTATAGATTAAGGAGGAAGAAACTATCAATGTCATACTTGGACTTGGGATGCTGGTGACTTGCTTATGTCCCTGGCACAGACAGATGCGTCATCCTTGAGATCCAGAGGATCAGCTGAAGGATAAGCTTAACACCAGGAAAAGGAGTGAGGCAAGAAGTGCATGTACAACAATTTTAACTATTACTACTATTGAGACCTTTTTTTCATGTATAGCAGTGTTGACTTTTTTCTGCAATAATTGGATCTGGATGAATAATAATTTTATGATTAATCTGTTAAGATTTTGGTTATACTAAGGTGTATCCACTTTTCCCATAACAACATTTTGTGTGTAAAAAAAAAAAAAAAAAAAAAACAAACCCCAAAACCAAAAAAACCCTCCAAAACCAGTATGAAATTAGGTTACAGAATGTAGTTGGACAGAAATTTATAATGTTCTAAGCTGTTTTATTAATGCTTGATAGTATGCTTAATATTTTATTAAGTATAGTATGCTTATTTTATTAACTGCAATACTGGTTTTGTGTGCACTGGCTTGTTTTTTTATGCCGAAACAAATTTTACAGGTGTTTTCCATTTAGTGATTACAGGTCACACTTGCTTGGGACTTTGCTTGGAATAGACTTTAGTTCTTAATTATGAAATTATTTGAGAGCTGGGTACGATTACAGAGTTTGAAATATTTGGAGGATTGATTTTGTTGGCCCAAAATAGTATGTTACACACAAGGTCACACTGAAGAAAAAGCATTGTGATAGAGTGCTAGAGCCTCGCTCTCTGAAGTTGCCAATAGAGCTACCCTTCACTGTCCTTTTTTTGGAAAAAATCTTGACCGCAGTCGTCACTAAGTTTCCTTGACTATAGTCAGTAGTGTTGCAGATACTGTCAGACCCCGGTTCAGTGTGCTGGATGCTTGCTATTGAGTAAACTTGCAGTAATTTGGGGAAGTTAGAACCTGAGGTATGTTTGCAAGTTCAGCTGTTTGGAGAAGGAAAAGTGGGTGCACTTGATAGAAAAATGCATGTTGTGGAAATGCTTCTTTTGTATCTTAACTCTCTGAAAAATGTCCCTCTCTTTGTCCACAGACCTTTTAAAGCCTTAACTGTAAAGCCTGGAAAAACTGATCTGGCAATTTTAGTGGCAAGAACAGCTGGTTTTGTTTGACCCCAACTATTTTTATGTCAAGCTGTTTTATAGAAATCTGTGTTACTATGTTACATTAAACACATTACTACATTAAAGTGTTAGAGCACTATGGTATAATAGGATTGCGGTAACTCATCTGCTGAACTGCACTCTTGTGTCTGGGACACCAGTTCAGTCATACACACCACAGGGACAAATGAAGTACTGAAAACGTCCTGCTTTTTCTCTGCTGCTGGAAGTTGAACAGTAAGGCACACCAGCTCCATTCTTCATCAGTGCTACTTAGAAGCAGGCTGAGCTTTCTAATCTGAAATAATTTGGTGTGTAATGCACCCTCTCTCTAGAGATACTCCAAATTAAAAAAGCTAGACAACTAGTAAGTAAAAGCCATGAAATGTGAATTGTGCAGTCATCAGGTCCTCAGCACCAGTACTCTCTCTACAGATTTCCAGCTGGTCCACGCTACATGCGGACATAGATGTAGTTTTAATGTTCAGTGTGTACTGCAATATACCTTTTTTGTAGGTTCTACTTGGGTATTACTGTAGTTAATGTTTCTAGTACAGAGACACAAAGACAGAAGGCCTTAAAAATCTTTGTTCTTTCTGGCTATCGCTAACATTCAATCCTGATGCCAGCTGAAAATACCAGCAAACACGTCTTTGCTATGAATTTCCCTGTGACCTATGTCTCAGCAGTTGGCAGGTTGCTGGACGAAAAATGCCATCATGTCTTATCTTCCCTGTGGAATAACTTCACCTGTGAATTCATTTATGTTCCTTCAGTTAACCAACCTAATTCACTATTTATGCCTGATTACTGACTGGTTTTTTCCAAAGAAATGTATTTGGTGTAGGAATACTACAATGTCATGTTTATTAACTTTCTCTCACTTTTTTACTGAAATGTTAGAATTTACTACACTCTTGTAGGTTAGAACTTTATAATAGTTTGCTTTTGTTCAATGAAGTATAGTTGGATGTCTGTGAAAGCCTCAAAATAAGAGCATTTCTTACTGTGTGGTTACTTGTTTCTCTCAAAGGTGAGTAAAGCAATGTCAGCATCAGAAAAGTTGAGTCCAGAATTTTCAGAGGTGACTCCCACCAGCCCTCTGTCTGTGCCAAAAGTAGCAGGGCTTACTAGGTTCTGGGCTGTGATGGGTCAGATGCAAGTCTTCAGAAAAGTAGTATGTTCTACTAGGCCAATGTTTATTTATAACCGTTTTCATGTCTGTTTTCAAATTTCAGTCTGGGGAGCTGCAAGAGAGTCCTGTCACTTCTGTAACATTTTTAGTTATTTCCCTATGGGATTTAATGTTCATGGACTACTTTCCAGAGAAAGCTTTAAGCATGGGATGAGTGAAAGCCAGAGAGAGGAGAGACTCAAGGAAAAGCAGAGGCTTGGGGGAAAGATTGGCTATAATTTCTCAAAAGGTTGAGATTTATAAATAGACATATGGATACGGTAAACTATTGGACTGTATAAATGACAGTAACTATCTGTATTGGGTTTGCATGGCAAGGTTTTGGTAGCAGGGGGGCTACAGAGGGTGGCTTCTGTGAGAAGCTGCAAGAAACTTCCCTTATGTCTGGCACAGCCAATGCCAGCCAGCTCCAAGACAGACCCACCACTGGCCAAGGCCAAGCCTATCAGTAACAATGGTAATGCCTCTGTGATAACTTAAGGAGGAGGAAAAAAACCAAAACCCTATGTAATTGCAGGTGCAGAGAGGTGTGAGAATATGTGAGAAGAATTCTGCAGACACCAAGGTCAGTGAAGAAGGAGGGGAGGAGGTGCTCCAGGCACCAGAGCAGAGATTCCCCTGCAGCCCGTGGTGAAGACCATGGTGAGGCAGGCTGTCCCCCTGCAGTCCATGGAGGTCCATGGGGGAGCGGATGTCCACCTGCAGCCCATGGAGGACCCCACATCAGAGCAGGTGGATGCCTGAAGGAGGCTGTGACCCTGTGGGAAGCGCATGCTGGAGCAGGCTCCTGGCAGGGCCTG